CATGCCCTTGACTGGAATCGAACCTGGGACCCTTGAGTCCGCAGACTGATGCTCCATCCACTGAGCCACACCGGTTAGGGCCAGCCGCTTTGTTTTATGTTGAGTTTGAGTGTTGCCAGGCGGCTGTTCTGGGAAAGAACGATAATTGCGCTCATAAATACAGAATGGGGAAATAACCGGATTTGGGTGATTTCAATAGGCAAGAATTACAGGATAGAATTTATGACTGACCCAGTGCTGCTGTGACAAGCAAAATCACACCTCCCTCCAGATGGAGAAGCCCCAATCTCGGGGTACACAGGCCACTGTGAGAACAAAGGAGAGTGAAAGCCAGCTGTAATGACAACGGCCGGGGCTGACGACTGAGAATTGGGACGCTTGCTCACGGTTTGTCTAGTAAGGGGCACAGCCAGAATTCAGACCCAGATCTTTCCCGGTTTTACCAGCTGACTGCGTTGTGACAGCACATAACATTATTGCATTATTTTATTCAGTTCTTGTAAGAATCCGCACGGAAAATTGGCTACTGAAAACCATTGTCTTATCCAGCCAGTGCATTTTACACTTGATGTTTGTCCGTGCAGGTGAGAAGCCATACAAGTGTCAGATCTGCAATCAGTCCTTCAGAATTAAGAAAACCTTGACCAAGCACCTGGTCATCCATTCGGACGCCCGGCCTTTCTACTGTCAGTACTGTAACGCCACGTTCAAGCGGAAAGACAAGCTCAAGTACCACACGGACCACGTGCACGGCATCAAGTCCCCCGACGACGCCCTGAGCGCTTCCGAGGAGAAGCTCGTGGCCTTGCCCGTGGAGTACTCGTCCGACGACAAGATCTTCCAGGCGGAGACAAAACAGTACACGGACCAGCCCAAAGCGTATCCGCCGGAGGCCAAGGCGATGCTACAGGACGTGTCGGCCGAGGTGTGCGTGCCCGTGACGCTGGTCCCCGTGCAGATGCCCGACGCCCCGAGCGACCTGGGGCAGCACAGCGCCCCCCTCCCACCGTCTTCGCATGACATCCTGTCGCCACAGCCACCGGCGGCCGACTACCCACGGGCAGCTGACTTAGCTTTTCTGGAAAAATACACCCTGACCCCCCAGCCTGCAAATCTAGTTCACCCCGTCCGACCCGAGCAGATGCTGGATCCCCGGGAGCAGTCCTACCTCGGGACGCTGCTGGGCCTCGACAGCGCCACGGCCGTGCAGAACATGCCCGACGCGGAGCATCACGCGTGAGGGAGTCCACGCGGTCCCCGGGTTTCTTGGATGCTCGCGTGCTGGCCGCCTGGTGCAGGTGGCTTTTCCGCGAGTAGGGCTGCGATTTTTTTTCATTTTCAAGTACTCAGAGCCGTTGCAAATCAAGAAAAAATACGCCTCTCTGTTTACTGAACATGTGAATATTTGGACACATATTGAGGTATTTGAAGTGAACATTTTTATGATTTTAAAGGATTATTTAGCGCTAATTTTAATGGAATCTCAAACTTTTCGAAATTATTAGCTGTTGACATTATGTTTTGATTTTTTGAATCAGCAGTGGACATTTTATTCTTTAGTCTCATTCCTCCTCTCTCCCTTCCCCATCTTCCGAACAAGCTTAAGGACCATGTAGGCTTTAGGAAAGAATTTACGAGAGTTTACTGATAATCGCAACCCTTCCTTATCCCAACTAAGTTTCGTTATTTCCTCCAGGTTTCCGGAAATTGGTATTAGGGATTTGTATTTATAAGGAAGTCTTGGGTGTGTCTGTGTTGTTTCTTAGTCTGGTTACCTGATAATTTTAGATTATCTTTCTCCTTTGGTCTTTTGGCAAAAAGCCAGAAAGTTAATGAGTGTCAGAGTAGCGTGTTCAATGAAATGCAGAATGGAAATAATTACAGTGGGGCCTTGACTTACGAGTTTAATTCGTTCCGTGACGGAGCTCGTAACTCAAATTACTCGTATGTCAAATCAAAAGTGAACGAGTGAGACACGTGATGCTGGGCTGATGTGGCGTTCACTGTGACGTTCGCTGCGCCAACTAGCGGTGGGGTATCTGAAGCTGCTCGTAACCCGAATTTTAGCTCGCAATGCAAAGCAAAAAATCGGCTGAGAGATGGCTCGTATCGAAAAACTCGTGAGGACACTCGGAAGTCAAGGCCCCACTGTATCCAAATGATTGGTTTTTGCCTATGCTTTAGTTAACATGAATAAGAAATGCAAATACAGATCTAGGCATTAAATTACACAATTGATAATGTGTAGAAAGCAAAACGTGCTAGTATCGCTCAAGGTCCGTTCACCTGTCCTAGCTGCCGTTTATTTCCCACTAACATACCACAGCCTAGGTCTTCATCTCACTGATTAATGAACTGTCATTAACAGGTGATGTTTGCTCTCATTGACGCTGGCGGACTGAAACTCTAGGAAACGGAACCGAGATATTCCACACACCGTTGTTAGAAAAGGTGCCAAATTGTACTCTGTGTGTCTGTCTACACTCAGTGTTGTTAAATAGTAATTACAGGGAACCAGTGTGTACAGGTGTACATGGCACCCCGGTTTATGCCTGCTTTTCCCATAAGCCTGGAGTCTAATTTTCCTGGATTTTTGTTGTCGTCTGGGACAGAAGGTGAGCACTTGGTGAAGGGAAATGGCAGTTACAGGGACTCCTCGCTGAGTCCGGTTAACGGAGGAAGAAGTCAGTGAAACACCTTTAAAGGTGTGCACTTTCCGCATCTTCAGGCCACCGTCACCTTCAGCGAGGCCACTGGTCCGAGCAGAGCTGCTGGGAGGGTTCCATTCCCGTGGCCTGTCCTCTGTATGGAAACGGATGGAAAATAGCAATGTGAAGAGTTGGCTATTTCCGTTTTGTTTACACTCCTCATTGCTTTAAGCACTTTTTTTTAATGTAAACGAATGTCTGGCCCAGCCCTTGTGAGAAAAAAAAATCACAAATAAAATAATGAAGTTTAATAAAATTTAGCCACTTGATGGGGACAGGTGTTTGCTGAAGCACTTAAGGAAGGAAGGTACTTTACAGTGTGTCTTCCTCGTGGGAAGAGGAGAGAAAGTGGTGAGAATGGAGGCTACTGACCCCAAGTAGCTCTTGTAAATAAGAAAACCAGCCTGAGTTTCGCCTCAGTTGTTAAGATGTGGTTATAGCCATTCTAGGACCGGTGGATGTAATTAATGTATGAATTCTCCCGTTGGGCACATCCTTGTGTGTGGAAACGATAATCTATCTGGGTGCTTACGTGGCTGAACTTGACAATGTGAGGTACTGTTAGTCTGTTAGTGTTTCAGATCGGCTTTGAGGAATACGTATCCTTTTTGAACTAAAAAAGTTCCTCTTAGGAAAAGGAATCATCATACCCCGCAGTGTGCCCTGCCTCGCATACCGGCCGCGTGGAAGACTGGGACTTGCAAAGAGGCAGAGGGTCTAGACATGTGTGTACAGGGTGTATTCTGTTTGGTAGCAGGACAGAAGGGGCGTTGCATTTTCACATGGAAAAGGACACTTTGTTTTTTGAAGGTATTTACTCGAGGGTTCTTTCCATAATCTAATGCTTTAAATACATGGTTCGATGGTAGGGATTGGTTTACAGTAGGCAACTTTTCCGGAATGCATCTCTTCTGTAGAATGAAATACAGATCTATTTAGTTATTGTAGGTCACTACGCCTGAACAGAGGTTTATAAATTGCTTTCGCAAGTTACCTTCTGCAAACTTCAGACCGAGCTCGGAGGGCGAGTTGGACGTGCATCTTCCCAGTTTGGAGAGAGGGAGTCTGAGGCGAAGGACGCAGTTACGCCCCCATCATTGATGAGTGGCAGGTCCCGCTTCTAGGGAAGGACACGTGGCTCAGTCCTGCCTCCCAGCTGCCGGGCACCCGTGTTCTCGCATTGTCGTCGGCAGGCTGGGCGGGGAAGGGTGGTTCTGACGAACAGAGAGTCTCAGCGGACGAACAAGCAAACAATCCCAATCTGCTGCCTCTAATTTCCAAATTAGAGCCTAAGAAACACTAAACTGGTGAAAACCTCGTAGATTTGGGCAAACTGAATGTATATAGTTTTTGAAGTTGGCACAAGAAATATGAAATGAGGCCTCCTCTTTTCACTTAACCTTTTGTACTATTTGGGAGTTTCTGGGACAAATGTCCCATCAACTCTAAAAATCATTACTTCTGTACCTGTACTTAAATTTTGAATTTTGCAACTAAGCTTAGCCTCATTCAGGATTTTTTATCTTCTAAGCATAATTTATTGTTTTAAATTAATGTTTTAGCTGATAGCAGTTAGCACTCAATATGTAAGTGGAATAATTTATAAAGTGTAGAGATTTGTTAACCTCCATTTTTACTTAAATGCACCAAAGATTTTAGTAGGTATTGCAATAGTTCAAAAGAATTTAAATTCTTCGTTGTCTGAATAAATATTTGTCCAAAGAAGCACAGTTGAAGTCCTAGGCTTATGGATTAAAAAAAAAAAATTGTTAGTTTGAATACTAAGATGAAGTGTTTGTGTTTATACGTATAAAAACAAGAACAGCAGGAAGTACTCTGGGAAGAGACATACTGACAAATGAATCACAAGCAAGAACGCTGTTTTCCTCAGAATGCATAGAATGTTACCTTCAGTGAACACTATTAAATGCATAACAGTAAGCTTATTTTTTACACTACACTATTAAAATCATTTGCCTTAGTTTTTTGTTGCTTTTTTTTAAGACGAGTTGAAGTTATTTTTGTATGAAACACTCCACCTATTTTTTTTTGCAGTCTAAGATACCATGGTAGGTTAGGGTCGGGTCTGCATCCAGCAAGATGTCACTAACTCCGAAGGTAGTGGTCTTGGCGTCCTTTTAAGTAATTTAGTCATTTATTGCCACGAGAAGCGTGAGCAGCCAAGATAGGGCTTAACGTGGTGCTTTACTAAAGTGACTTCCTTTTGAGCAGTGTCAGGTCCACTGATAACGTTCGGTCGACCTTTTAAAAGTGTCATAGCATCTTAGGGATATAGATTAAAAAAAAAAATTGTTAGTTTGAATACTAAGATGAAGTGTTTGTGTTTATACGTATAAAAACAAGAACAGCAGGAAGTACTCTGGGAAGAGACATACTGACAAAGGAATCACAAGCAAGAACGCTGTTTTCCTCAGTCTAATGCATAGAATGTTACCTTCAGTGAACACTATTAAATGCATAACAGTAAGCTTATTTTTTACACTACACTCTTAAAATCATTTGCCTTAGTTTTTTGTTTTTTTTAAAGACGAGTTGAAGTTATTTTTGTATTAAACACTCCACCTATTTTTTTTGCAGTCTAAGATACCATGATAGGTTAGGGTCGGGTCTGCATCCAGCAAGATGTCACTAACTCCGAAGGTAGTGGTCTTGGCGTCCTTTTAAGTAATTTAGTCATTTATTGCCACGAGAAGCGTGAGCAGCCAAGATAGGGCTTAACGTGGTGCTTTACTAAAGTGACTTCCTTTTGAGCAGTGTCAGGTCCACTGATAACGTTCGGTCGACCTTTTAAAAGTGTCATAGCATCTTAGTGGAGTAACTATAAACCGTTAGCTGAGGGCTAGTAAAATATCATGCACTGTTTTCCATTCTCCAATTGCAAGCAGAGTTAAAGACACAGCTAAACTGGTATGTTGGGTAGTTTGCGTTTTCCTCCTTCCAGATCATTCGACCGTGTCCCCGGGGACAGGTCAGACTCGGGGCCCTGGCTCTCTGACCGTCTCGCCTGGATGGAATGCTCTGTGCCTTTTCCCTGTGTTGTCGTTGCTTGAGTTGCTTCCGCTGGCCAGCGTGTGCCGGCTAATCACGGGGTTTGATTATTTTTGTTGTTCTGGGTCTTATGTGTGTGTGGCCTGCTGGTCAGGCAGCACTTTATTATAATTTTTTTTTTAGGTTGCTTTATGTTTACGTAAGGAAATAGGCACTCACGTACTTGTGTGAATATTTGCTGTTTGTGTTTTTCTGTCTCTTTTGGCCTTCATAGTCACCGCAGACACTCCCAGGCCGGGCTCTATGCGCTTCTTAGAGGAATCTAACAAATAAAATAAAACGAGTTGTGTGTCTGTCTCTCTGTGTCCTCCTCCCTCCCTCCCTCCCTCCCCGGCCCCCCAGTTTTTTAACAATAATCAGTCACCATAACCACACAGCTCTCTACTGAGTGGCTTCTGAGTTCAGTTTGCCTCGAACTGAACAAGAGGTGGTGATGGCTTGAGATGAGTTTGCCCTTAGGAGCAGGAGCGACCCAGCCAACCGGCGAACAGCTTGAGCGTATCAGCACGGGCAGAGGGAGGACTTTGAAAGTCGCGTTGGGGTGGCTCGAAGATTCCGTGCCAAATTTAAAACGATGAGAATGTACAAGAAGCCGGTGGCTTTTCTAAGACTTTAAATAGGGTCATGGGCAAGTGTTACCTGCTGTTAGAAAGAATGATGGGTAATGTGAGAATCGTTTTCTAACCCGCTTAGAAAATTGGACAATTCTTTCTTAGGCCCTTCGCTTGCTTTTGCGTTGTCTCTCGGTAAAGTCTGCAGGGGTTACCTGAGGGGGATCGGCCTCTATTTCCTTCCAAACTATTTCTCCTTCACGGTCCTTTTATGCTGGAATGTTAGCATGTCCTCTGCACCTCCTTTGGAAGTAGCCTTAATAAGACAAAAGTAATAGGATGAGCTTGTATGGTAGGTGAGAGATTTTGGTAGAGAGAAAGCCTACA